CGCTCGTGTAAAGTCACACGAGTAAAAATCCAACTCCCATTTTTTACGAAATAAATTAAAAAAAAAAAAAAAAAAAAAAAAAAAATTATAATTCACACTCGTGTGAATTTACACGAGCGAAGTGGTTCCGCTCGTGTAAATTCACACGAGTGTGACTAAGCTCGATTTTTTTCGTTTTTTTTTTTCGGATTCGTAATCTACATAACAAGAGGATCGTAAAAACGTAAAAATTACCTCCGATCTGTTGACGATTTGCACGGGCTTTGCGAAAGAAAATCGAGAGGGTTGAGAGAGTTTTTTGAGTTTTTTTACCTTTTGGTTTTTGAGAAATGGTAAAAAATGTGCCTGAATGTTTAATTTATGTCTGCACAAATCATTTCAGTTTTTTTTACCTATGAGTGGAGGCAACTCACGTGATAAATGATTTAAGCTCGTTCGCAGAGTACGGGTTCAGATTCACTTTTAATTATTTAAAAAGCTCAGTCCTCAAAGTCTGTCTTCTTTGAAAAAGAGAGATCAATCAATTGATGGCCTTTGTTACTCTATTTGTATCCAACAGAGGGAAAGTTGAAAGAATTATTTTGGGGGACAAATACAGTTTTAGTCCCTCACATTAGCAACAATTTCACATTTGGTCCATCATGTTCATAAAAAACACATTTGGTCCCTCACATTTCAAAAAATCCACAGTTTTAGTTATTTCCGTTAAAACTAACGGAATCAAGCCTATGTCCATTAATTACTTAACTGACAAACTAACGGTAAATTGATGGAAATGACCAGAAGTGTTATATTGTTGAAACATAAGGGACTTGGGTCAGCTGTCATAAAAAATGTCAGAAATCGCCACTGTGAAATGCGATTTACACCATATTTGTAAAGGTGTACAAAATCACACCATTCCTGTAAATTAATTGGACATCTACACCATTCATGTAAATGACCCTGAAACTTCATATAATAGTAGCTCTCAATAACAATTTTTCCTCCTATAAATAGACCTCTACTTTCATCATAAGTATCACCATTAAATTTCCAAACCAATCTCTCTCTCTCTCTCTCTCTCTCTCTCTCTCTCTCTCTCTCTCTCTCTCTCTCTCTCTCTCTCTCTCTCTCTCTCTCTCTCAAATACAAATACTTTTTTTTTTCTTTTTTTCTTTTTGAAGTAAACTATGTTGCTGAGTACGAGACCATTTTTCTGCCAACAAATTAGGGAACTTAACAACTTTTATTCTTGTAAGAAAACTCCGGTTCGATTCTTAGTTAACGTCGAAAAGAAAAACAACATAGCTAGAACAAGATATCGACAAATTAATATTAAGACAAAGGCAGCTAATAATAACAATGACCACATAGCCATCTCCAAAAATTGGAAGTTCCACAAGGAATCGAATACGGCAAGGGTATCGGAATACTTAAGTTTTTCGAAGGCAAAAACATTTTCGTCACCGGTGGAACTGGGCTTCTTGGAAAAGGTATGTATATATGTATATAATTCACTTGTTAGTCTTCTTTGTATTCCTAATTGTCGTTTGATTGAAATAATATTCATTAAGGGTAAATTACGGCCATCATGTGAGGTAAGGTCAAATTACGTAAAATCGTCATGTTTGGGTAAATATATACAACCGCCCCCCTCAACTATGAATCTTCTTACACGTCCACCCTTGCAGTGTTAAATTTAGTGGAATTTTCTAGAATATGTGGAATATTCTCCAGTTTGTATCTGTTTTGTGCAAAAAGACAGTTTATGATACACCACAATATGATATTTATAATTCAAGAGACACGTCTTATGATCATCTTGTTTCAAAATGTGGAGCTGAAATGGAATAAAACAGGTACAAACTAGAGATAATTTCACATAATTTAGAAGATTCCGTTAAATTTGATACCGCAATGGTGGACGTGTAAGAAGATTCATAACTGAGAGGGGGGTTGTAATTACCCAAAAAAACAAGGGTATTTTTGTAATTTAACCTTATCTCAGGGAGGTGATCGACCTTAATTTTACTCTATTAATTAAATATGATTTTGTACGTAGTTCTTGTGGAGAAGATTTTAAGGTCGACATCGGTCGGTAAAATCTACATACTAGTGAAAGCGGATGATCAAGAAGCAGCCGTCGATAGAATAGCCAAAGAAGTAAGTTTTTAATTAACATTGCATCTTTATATTTAGTTGAACTCTACACATAATTACGCGAATATTTTGCTCTTTTTTTTTTTTTTGTAATTAGCTTATAAACTCCGAGTTATTCCGATGTTTGAAAGAAAAACATGGAAAATATTACCAAGCGTATATAAGGGAGACTCTGATACCAATTGTTGGCAATATTTGTGAGCCGAACCTCGGAATGGACTTTGATTCTGCGCATGCAATTATGGAAGATGTCAATGTGATCATAGAATCCGCCGCCATTACAACCTTAAACGAAAGGTTATTACTTTAACTATCTCGCTCTTCTCACTTAATTAATTTTGATCAAAACTAAATCAAGTTGATGGAAACTAAGTTTCTTCTTCGATTGAAATATTATAATTTCACGTAGGTACGATGTGTTACTTGAAGCCAATGTCAATAGCCCCCAACAATTGATGCGTTTTGCTAAGACGTGCAAGAACCTTGAGCTATTTGTCCATATTTCAACCGGTAATTTATTATTAATTAAGTGGGAAAATTACAGTTTTTATCCCTCAAGTTTGTACCGATTGCACATTTAATCCCTCATGTTCAAAAAAATACATTTGGTCCCTCATGTTTGAATAATTTAACACTTTTGGTTATTTCCATCAATTTATCTTTAGTCCGTCAGTTAAGGCAGTGACGGGCACACACTTGATTCCGTTGGTTTGAACGGAAAATTGACGGACAAGACTAAAAGTGTTGAATTTTTGAAACACGAGGGACCAAATGTGTTTCTTCTGAACATGAGGGACTAAATGTGAAATTAGTGCAAACTCGAGGGATGAAAACTGTATTTTTCCCTTAATTAAGTAGTAAAAATGACTTAGGGAATTAAATCTTTTTTATTAATTTCTAACTAGTACGTATAACGTTATATATGCACGAATAATCGAAATGTTACTATATATATACATATAGCATATGTCAATGGAGAAAGAGAAGGGATTATCTTGGAAAAGCCATTGATTATGGGGGAGAATAGAAGAAATGACGACACATGCAATACATCTCCATTTCCTCGACTCGATATAACCGACGAAGTAAATCTTTCGGTGTCGAGAAAACAAATGGCTTCTTCAAACTATGATTTGACTAGGGATATGAAAAGTCTTGGAATGGAGAGGTTAATTTATGCCTTTCCTCTCTCTTTTTTCTTTCTTCGAGTTATAATTTAACTCGTCGTTTAATTTAGGAACTATCATGAACACTTTACGGGCCAAACTTACGTATAACCAAAAAATGAGCACACATGCATCATAAATTTATAACATAATCTATTTTCTAACAGAGCAAATTTGTATGGATGGTATAATACGTATCACTTGACAAAGGCGATGGCGGAAATGGTAATTAATGAAACGAGAGGGGATATTCCGGTTGTCGTCAGTAGGCCAACTGTCATAGAAAGTTGCTATAAAGAACCTGTTCCTGGTTGGATTCAAGGAAATAGGTGAAAAGAATATATATATATATATATATATATATATATATATATATATATATATATATATATATATATATATATATATATATATATATATATATATATATATATATATATATATATATATATATATATATATATATATATATATATATATATATATATATATATAT